GGCACTCATTGTTGTTTCTAATTTATTTATACACTCGTGCCATCAAACTGTTGTATAAACGCAATGTCACACTCGTAGACATGAAATATAGCTGTATATCCGCATGCTTTGTTTACCTACGGCACTTGGTCTGCGGCGTCGTGCCTAGGGTTGCCAACTTCAGAAAAAGAAAATAAGGGACAATTGTGGTTTTTCATAGAAAAATAAGGGACAGAATAAGGGAATCCAACTTTTCCAACATTGATTATAAATCAGCATATTAGAATGATTTGTGAAGGATCATGTGACACTAAAATTTGGAATAATGATGCTGAATATTCAGCTTTGCTTCACAGGAATAAATTTGAACGGCAGTGTATATACTGTATATATAGGCTATAGGCAATCTACCTCATGAACAGTTAAATGTTCTCCCATTGTGCAATACAAATATGTGCAATAACCTTATACTATTTATCGCTTTACATCCTAGTATATCCCTACGACTTAATTTTTTACTCTATTCATTCTACATGTATTTTATCTATAGCACACCTGTACATATTTATCCTTTTTGTGTGTGTGTGTGTGTGTGTGTGTGTGCTTTATTTATATTTATACATATGTGTATTTTATTCACATCTTATTTTTATTATCTGTGTGTTGTTGTTGTCTCTGTGTACTGATGTGCAAACATACTTGGCAATAAAGCTCTTTCTGTCTTCTGTTATGCGTGTGTGTAATATAGCCTACAGTAGGCCTACTACAATATATGAAAATGCATATTTTTCAATTAAAGAGAACTTATAGAATAAATATGGACTTCTTTGGGTGCTTGACACTTCATTTGTCATTTTGTGTTTTAAGAATGATATTCAAGTTTAAGAATACGCTGGAAGTTACTTAAATGTAAATTGTTTTATCTATGTGTATACATGAGAGAAATATGACTGATCACGTCTTCCCTCAGGTAAAATGCACGTTTTCTTGCGTGGCTGGATGTTGGAATCACGTTGTTTGCATTCGCTCAAACTGATTTGCTGAAGTCGAAATGCGGTCGTTAAAAAACCCAACTCCGTTAGCGCGAGTCCCGCTCTCAGGGAGCGACCAACCGGCAGAGGATTCCACTTGGTCTTAAAGCCTCCCTGGAACAGCTATGTTCACAAATCAAACACTTGTCAAAAAAGAATGATTAATTCTCAATTTAGAGTTTGTTATTCGTATGGTCTAGGTGTTCATACGGCATATGCCTTAAATACGGGACAAACTGCGTTCCGTATAGCTTTCATACGGAACGCTTCCTTGATGCCTTAAATACGGGACGATTCCGTATTATACGTAACGGTTGGCAACCTTACTCGTGCCCATGGCCGAATCACAGCTGTGCCGATATATAGCCGTATCTCACGTCTACTCATGTGATATTGCTCATATGTATATACAGTATATATATACACACACACACATATACATATTCTGTAAATTCTGCAAATTCTGTTTTCAGTTCTGTTTGCATGTATGTCAACTTGGATATTTGGGCAATAAAAGGTTTTTTAATTATTTATGTCAACATGGTTATCATGGTTACACACAACAATAAAATACAGAAATTTTACCAAAATGAATTTGGTAAATAGTTGTAGTGGCTCCTATATATTTACAAACAATATAGCAATCATAATCAAACAATATGATGAACAGGAATGAAATATTGACCACATAGACAGGGTCACTGTCATGGAAGTTAATAACATTTCATTTTGACATTTTTCCAGTCATTCTCTTCTTAGTATTTAAATCAGGCCTTAACAGAATTACATAACATTTAGGTACAAAAATACAAAACAGAAGTCCAAAAGTGGAAGCAAGAATGGCAAATATCTCAACAGCCACTGTGTATTTCCCTGGTGAGCTGTTGTATGCTGGTATAAATGAGATCCACACAGCAAAAAATATAAGCATACTAAATGTAATGAGCTTAGCTTCATTAAATGTATCTGGAAGTTTCCTTCCAAGGAAGGCAAGGGCGAAACACATACAAGAGAGTAATCCAATATAGCCCAGCACCAGGTAAAATCCTAGCGGCCACACATCTTTACATTCTAGTACAATCTTACCACCCTGATAGGACGTGTTTTTGTAGGGGTAAGGAGGTGCTAGTGCCAGCCAGCAAGCACACAAGATAACTTGGCCTGTCGTGCAGCAGAAGATGAAAACCCTTTGCTGTGGAGGGCCAAATAGCTTTAGAGAAATGGAACCAGGCATAGTGGAACGAAAGGCCAAAAGCACAACAATGGTCTTGACCAGTATGCATGAGATACATAGAACAAAGCTGATCCCAAATGCAGCTTGTCGGGCACGGCATGTCCATGGTGAGGGCCGGCCCACAAACACCAGTGAGCAAAGGAAACAAAGTTTGAGAGACAACAGCAGTAGAAAACTCATCTCAGAGTTGTTGGCCTTAACTATGGGTGTGCTTCTGAAAAGAAAGAAAATCACTGTGATAACAGTTGCCACAGCGACTCCAAAAAGAGACAAAGATATGAGAATGATTCCCATGATTTCATGGTATGAGAGGAACTCCTCTATGCCAGCAACACAAGAAATCCTTTCGTTGTTTGGCCAGTAGTACTGGGGACACTTGATACACTCAGTAGCACCTATTAGACAGAAACAGACACTTTGGGTCAACCAAATTTCCAAAATGTATACAATATTATTACACAACTCTCTGGAAAAATCTATTTTGGAATACTTGATTTCTTTATTCAGAGTATTGATCGTGGCATTCAGCAGTCAAATGTTTCCTAAAATTCACAGTCATCCATAATTCTGTACTGGTTAGATGGGTCATAACCGGTCAGGTGGGTCACAACTCAAACCTCCATTACTTTTTATTACATTGCTGTCTTGTTCCATATTATGGTGACCGGGAGGGGACATTAGTTCACTTGGTTCACTTATGGTGCTTTTCCACTGCGTGGTAC